CCAGCCATGGCTGGCTGGGGAATTCTGGGAGTTGAAGTCCACACATCTTAAAGTGGCCAAGGTTGAGAAACACTGAGCTAGACTGACAAGGAACACTGGGAATACCTATCAAGAAGACTCTTTCCCAAGTTTTTACTAAACATGCCACTAATCATAGTGTAACAGAAATTAACATCTCCCAAGGGTATTCAAATTTAGGCAGTCTCCCCAGGTAGAGGTAGGACTTTGAATTGTGCCTGAAGAAAAATGAGCAGCAAGATTAGCTGATAAAACAAACAGATCACACACTATCTACAACCAATAGTCAGTAGCCCAGCTGTACTTTTTTGAAACAACCAAAGTTCAAAGGTATGTTCATTCTGGAAATGTGAGAGAAATAATCAAACTTTTCTGCTATCCTTAGCATATTTGTAAAGTTGTGAATTCAAGCATCAGTCTGATGAAAAACATCCTAAAATCGTGTCTGAGCAAAATTCTTAAGCAATCAGTGATTAGCTGGGGGGGGAAAAAAAACAGGACGGGGGTGGAGGGAAGAATTGGCTTCCAGACGACAAGCTGCTGATTCAGAAGTTTGCCTTAGATGGAAGAAATTCCCAGGCGTGGTTAATAACTGTGGCATGAAGCATCAATCCCAGAACAATAAACATGTCTCAAATGTTTAGAATGCGCCATCCTACGTCTGCTGCCTGGGGTACCTTGTGGCAAATTCTTCTGTGCTCCCTCCCACCTCTGCCCCGAAAGTAACTTCATATTAACATCTTATGCAAACTAGAATATGAGGAGGAGGAGTTACTCTGATCTTGTAGCAGTGGTTTTTCTGCATTTTATCTGCTGGAGGAAAAACTCAGCCTCCTGTCATTTTTACATTTCCTTCATTTTTTTATGGAATGCAGAATATAACCATCCTCCCCACCCACCCCAAAACAACAAAAAATCCATTTTTTTCCTGGGGCTACATTTTCCCTGCTTTCTTTTTCTGTAAACATTAGTCCGGATTGAGGGATTTTCGGCAAGACTCCAAGGCAATCAAAGGCTGCCATACTAAAGCCAAGTTAAGAATGAGATGAAGGGCAAAAAGCAAAAATGTTGAAATGTATTTCATTATAAAGGTTAATTAAAAATTCTATGGAAAGATACCCTTTTTCTAAGATTTTTCCAAATTTCTATTCATGTTGGCTCTTTCTTAACAAAAGGACCCACCATTTTGCAATCATTTTTTAAATAAAGTTTATGAGGATTGTTGTTGTTAATGCACACACATGCACACACAATCTCAAATACCCTAATATCATCCCTTCTCCAAAAGCTGAAAAACTGGCTTATGTATAAATAAAGCTGCAGTGCGCATGCCATGCTAAACCAGGATTATGGCAAATTCTAATATGCTGTGAGCTTCCGCATTTAGCCTGTTTGCTTCCCTCTTCACTCTTCCCACCAACACAGCAGCTAAACTAGCCAGAGATCAAAAGTTTGTTGTGACATATAAAACACCAGGAATGTCTTTGTTTCCCATAGGCAAACCAGAAGTTGCAACAAGCTCAAGTGTACCATTCCGGCTAGTAATGGGGACAACATTCCTAATTCTAGCTTCTGTTCAGTGTAGCTGCTCACATCATGGGGATGAATGCTAGAACACTGGCACACATCTCACAATAATTCAGGATTTACTAAGCCCTGGACTACCCTTGATGTTTGTTCAGAGGTATGTCCCTCTACATTGGGAAGCAAAGCATTTACTTTCAACAATACATTCTTGTGTGGTCAAATTCTCTCTTTCCATAGAACGAAAGGTATTTGTATATTTTTTCAGAAACAATCCACTCATCCTAATCACTAGATCAAAGATAAGTACAATTAAACCTTTTTACTACCAAATTGCAGTATATTAACATTGGGCTCCCACCTACAGGGATAGATCTTCCACTCAGCAGAAAGAAAGTCATTATAAAGAAAAACCTGAGCTATGTCAAAAAGACAAGTGGAATATTTTTAGGACACCAGAGCTGCCTTAGAAGCCATTCATTCATTCATTCATTCATTCATTCATTCATTCATTCATTCATTCATTCGTGTGGGGTGTGTGTGTGTGTGTGTG